ACGAACGCCACATTACTGATTTTGAAAATTCCCTTCTCTTTCCTATTTACTTTTGTAGCGTTTAAGACTTTTCTTTTTTTGAAGACATGAATTACCACTTCGAAATGTCATTAACTCAATGCCAATAATTTTCTTCATCTCCACACACCTAATGCCCAGAAATAATCAGTCACATAATGAAATCGTCCTTCGAGATCAATTAGACACATCAAAGGAGAGCTATATGAGTTAGTTATTATATTGGCTTCGTCTTTGCCATTCAACATTGTTCTCGACTTTCTTTTCCGAAACATCGCTGACCATAGCAAGGATGACAATTTCACTCTGGAGGGAAGGCGCAGTTCAGGACATTTGGCTAGCTCTCTTTCTGACCTATAGCACTCACATGATATCTTCCTGATGAGCAGTATAGGAAGTGAACTCTGTTAGTAGACGACCCGTGCAACACAGCTGCGAAGGCAGGTCCCTTCCATAATACCTTGAAGTCAAAAGTTATGAAGAAGCAATTCTACACAGCTGATCTACAAGTAAAACCTGGAGGTGAAACTCCGCAGTAGGTTGAACAGTTGAGGCAACTTCTCTCCATCATCTCCAGCGAAGACAGCTTCCAATCAGAGTGAAAAAAAGAGGATAGTCCTTCCATCTGACGTCTTTGGCAACCTGTCCCATACTTGGAAGGGAGGGGGGAAATGAATAGCCATTTCCACAAAACTCAGCCTGTACCCTACTTGAGACAGGTCAGTGTTGCTGTTCGACAAGGAAATAGTAATGCCCATAAATGGCCAGGAACAACTGTTCAGCGACATAGCATGAACAGCATTGACTTTGCAGCACAGTGAGAGTTGAATGGCAAAACTACTTAAAGAATGGCTGTATACTCTTCCGGCCAGAGATGACCTCGCTAGATGTGGATATTAAGAAGAGGTAGTGGGCCCTATTAGACAAATTGGATAGGTATAAACTATGTAATACAGTCCATAAACTTCTCACGTGGGATCCGAAACGAAGTAAGCGCTGTCCCGAAGGCCAGCATGCCCCCCTGCACTAACAAAGCAGATACGCATCTACTTTCAGAGTGGAATGTTTCTTTACACAACGCAGTAGTCAGTGCCTTCTATCGTTGAAACGCTGTACATAAAGTAGGCGTTACGAACCGGAGACTTTCTGCTTATGCAAACGGTTAAAAGTGATTATTACACAGATATCGATGTGCATCATGATTTGAAGCCGTAAATCCCATATACTGCATTTCATCTTCTGCATATGCTATGTCCACTTTGAGAAGTTTAATCACCGTTTTCCCTTTGGTTCTTGGGAGGCTACTTTCGTACGAAGTGAGCTTCGCTGGTGTCTCCAAATCCTATGGTTCCTTACCAAGCGGCTTCTTTCATCATGGTGGATATCTTTGTTGGAATTTAAAAAGATATCGTTGGATCTGTCATTGTTTGGATAGTAGAATCTTTTAACCTTCTCTGTCTGAATATAGAACTTGCTTTAAATCTGGTCACGTTTGGGTGCCACTTTCTCGGTGACCAAGTGTTTCAGAGCTTATTATCAAACAAAATATCTTTTTAATTAACTTCGCTCTGTTATGCAATCCCTCACTTATAGTTGACTTACTAATTTAGGTAAGGTAATCACGCCATTCACAGGTCAATTCCCTAAGTTTATTTTCTTTCCTTCTATACTGGCTTGATTAAGTCGCTGGAAAACTAATCCATTCTCATAACTTCTGCGTTTTTTGGGTGTCATCGCTTCCACGTCTGTGCCTCGAATCAGCGCGATTAATTAGTTACCTTGCTACGGGCGCCTGAGGCTTTTTCTTTCATTCAATTTCCTGTTCTGTGTTGTTACGCTACGACATTGATCATCACAGTTTTCCTGTCATAACAGTTAAGTCACCCATAAGGACTGGTCGTTATTCCATTCTTTCTGAGAGTGGTAAGTTTTTAATCATTTTTATAACCTTCATGTCTCATCCAGCACTAGTGGTCGAATGTCAGTTTTTCAAGATTAATGAAAGTATTTATTCCGAATCATATCGATTTCCCAAACATGCTTTAGACCATATATTCTTGTAGTTCAGCCGTTTGATTTTCTTGAATTGCGCTTGTCGGCCTGAGCATGCATCTGTCGATTTTTCTGCCGACATACTCGCTGAGAGTGACCGTCATTTTCATGGGATCCATTTTAAACTTGTCCGAAGATTTAGACAAATTGTTGCAGCAAGATGTTGGTGTTAGAAGCAAAAGAATGTCGTCTGCAAACTAAAGATGACAGAAATAAACTCGGTGAAATTCTTTTGTGCTTCAAATGTGATTTTGAGGACAAAGTGCTTTAAGGATATCATTAAATTAATATCTGTATTCAGTTGCTGCCATAAAATATTATCAATCATATGCTGCTCGGAAGTTTCTTGTTCTGTTCTACATTCAGTTGTAAACATTGTTTGAATGAGGATGTTATAGTGAGTTGATCATTGCTCGTATGCGATTTCCCGGAGGTTCGCGATGGAAAATGTTACAAACGTTGAATATTACAGACTGGGGCAGCTCAACCTCTCCAAATACACGCTCTATTTGTCGCTCAGTTTTGTCTCAATCACCGTCTCCGTGATGGCGTTCGTCGCCATCTGCATGTTCTCCAAGCATACAAAGCATCACATACTGTTCGAAGGTGAGCAATCATACTTTTGTCTGTTTTAAACTGTTGAAGTGAATTTTCACAGGTTTCAACTTTGCATGTGCCATCAACAGCTTTGCTGCCATCTACCAGTGTTTCTACAGTATTCATGTCCAGATGATCGGCGTTCAGCAGGTCAGCAGAAGGGCTTGTGCTCTGAGCGCCCTTTTCAATCCGCTGCAGATTTTCAGTAAGAGCGCCATTACAACCACCTCATTGGCTATATCCTGCGAACGATACGTAGCCTTGATAAAACCACTACAATTTCGATGCATGAGTCCCAGATGCTACGTATTCGCCATAATCGCTATTTATTTATATTCGTTAGGAAATGTGCTCGTTTTGTACGCATGGATATTCTTCGACACGAGCAATGTCACGGTGTCCTCTCTCTGCATTCAGTACGAAGCTTTGCCAATTGCTTTACACTATGGTCATATCGTAACTCTTGTTTTCACTATCTGCCTCAGTGTC